ATCCCACCTGAAGCCTCACGTGCCTCGAGAGAGGACTCCTGGCATGGCCTGCATCCCCAAATTTGCCTGATCAAAGTGAGGTCTGCGGAGGGGAGTTTAGTTTCCATGAGGGCTAGAAGGGGTGGGGGAGTGTTTCCTGCAAAGGTCAAGGACTGAGCGGTGCTTGAAACCGTCGCCCAGACCCCTTATGTTTCGAGCTAGAATCTTCATTTAAAGAGAGGGGTGGGGGGATGGACCCTTCACAAAGAGCGCCGAAGGATGCGGGAGCAACAAAGTCATGACGAGAAGGAAGGGCGGGGGAGGGAAGGGGGTTGGGGGGGGTCGGGAAGAGGGAGTTTGGTCGTAATTGATAAAAGTCTTCAGGTTTTGGAGTTCGCAATGACATTTGGAACTTACTTTCATTTTGGTAACGGTATACTCAAGAAGGCGTGGAGATCGTCCTGAAACCGGTCGAAGTTGAAGCCCATAACTTTGAGAACATCATGGAGGTTACCTGAGCTTTGTCCATATCTTCGACAAACGTAAAGTCAACCTAAGTGGTGGCATTTTGGGATGGAATGGAGAATGGTCGGAGAATGAAGAAGAGAGATTCTCAGAGCTGAGGAGTGGGGGAAAGCCCCAAGGGATGGAGGGAAAAGGCAGGCACAGACGGTTTTGAGGGGAAATTGAAGCCAAGGTGGGTGGGGGAATGGGGAAAGAGGAGGGGAGGTGAAATGGTGGGGGTACCAAAAGGGGGGGGATGGGGAGGAAAAGGGACCAGTGGAGGAGTTGGGTAGATGGGGACCCTGAGGGAATAAGGGGGGGCAAGGGAGTAAGGGGGTGGGTCAAGAAACGGGTTAGAAGGCTCAAGGGGGATGGGAGAGGAGGACTAAGAGCTCCTTGGGGCGAGAGAGGGGAGATAGGAAAAGTGAGGGGAGAAGGAGGGGGGAGGAAGCGGGGCCATGTAAGTTAAAAACCTAGCAAAAGTGGGGAGTGGGTAAGGAGAGGACGAGCTCCAAGCGATAAAATAGGGTCAGCAGAAAGGAAGGAGGGTGCAGAGTCAGACCGAGAAGGCAAAGTGGACTGAAACGAGGGTGACGGGAGACTGGGGTCCTTCAGAGAAGGATCCAAAAGGGGCACCGAAGAGGCCGAAGAAGTCGTAGGAGACCCGAAGAAAGGAGACAGCTGGATGGAGGGGGGGGACAGAGAGGGGTAGAAGGTGATGTGGGAGGGTAAGGATGGACAAGAGGAATAGGACAACTCTCCCTAAGAAAGAGAGGGAAAATAGACAAGGGGAGCGAGAGGGGTGGAACGAGGAGGAAGAGAGAGAAGGAAGAGATTGATGTTGCAAGTGTACCGGGGAAGGAGTCATTCCCCTAGCCAGATAGACGGTTTGAAGGAGAGAGGGGGACACATGGAGGAACTGGAGGGTAGAGGATCGAGGGACCAGAGGAGAGGATAGAGGAAGAGAACATGGGGTCAGACGAAAGGGCAAGGGGTTCATGAGGGAGGATTTGCCAACGTGAGCGAGGGGTAGGAGCGGAGATATTAGAAAAGAGCAAGGAGTTTGAATTATGCACATGAGTGGGAGAAACACGTGTCGAGGGAGAGGGATCCTGAAATGGTGGCACATCGCAATCCTCTCCATCGTAGAGGACATCGAACATGTTGGAGGAGAAGATCACATAACAGGGGTGGGCATGCAGACCACCTAAAAGGCTAGGGCTGTGAACTATCAAAGAAGGGGGAGCATGCGGGGTCGCGTGGTCCAGGCAAGGATGGGATGGTGGGGCTGGTTGAGTGAATCTCCGCCGGTAACATTTGCGGCAACGAGTGGTTCATTGGTTATCAGCAGGGCAAGGGGTGACAGGGGCGGGGCGCAAAGGTGCTCGAGAAAAAGGAATAAAATCGAGGAGATGGAGGCGAGGCTGAAATCCAGACCAGTGTGATGAAGTAAAAGAGCCCGTCGATGTCCAACCATAAGGAAGGTGGGATGACATGGGGATTAAGGGCCTCGATCAATAACTGGACGAAACCAAGGGGAAGGGAGTAGGTGGAGATCCAATACACAGATAAAAATTGCAGTAATCCCCTATGAGCTTGAAAACATTCAGGTGCCATGCGTGTAAGGGGGATGTTGAAGGCTCTCAACCAAACCCTTGTTTAGAAAAAACCCCTAAATCTCTACTCCATTTGGACAAAAGGGTAGCCCCTTTGAAAGAGGGATGAGGGTGAAGGCGGGCCAAGGATGGGACTTGAGCCAAAGAAAAGGAGAAGAGAAAAGAACCATTGGAGATCTTGCAGAAGCTAAGGTTGCCCACAGATTTTGTCCCCATTTCTCAATACCCCTAGGGTCATCCCAAGCAGGGGAAACGAAGCAATCCAACAGGATATTAGCAATCCAACAAGATGTTAGACGAGGGGATGTTAGACCAATAAGGGGGATGTTGAAGGCTCTCAACCAAACCCTCGTTTAGAAAAAACCCCTAAATCTCTACTCCATTTGGACAAAAGGGTAGCCCCTTTGAAAGAGGGATGAGGATGAAAGACAGCCGAGGACGTGACTTGAGCCAAAGAAAAGGAGAAGAGGAAAGAACCATTGGAGATCTTGCGGCAGCTAAGGTTGCCCACAGATTTTGTCCCCATTTCTCAATACCCCTAGGGTCATCCCAAGCAGGGGAAACGAAGCAATCCAACAGGATATTAGACGAGGGGAGGGAAGAGTTTGAGAGGTGGATGAAGTGGGGCTCAAGGAAAGGTAGGGGTTGGCGAGTCAAGGAGGGGGAAGAGATGTGAGGAGGGGAGGAGGGAAAAGAAGAAGGGTTGGGGGGGCGGAAGAGGGCGATGGTCGGGATGAGGGGGTGAAAGAGGTGGATGTAGTTCTGGTAGATGGGAGGTAGCGGAGGGGCTCTGGGTTAAGGACCTCTCAGCTGAGGGACTCTCACAAGGACAAGTTACTAAGTCCTAGTTGATAGTAATTCGTTGCATATTTTTCTGTATGTAACTGATTAATTTGTACATATGACAAACATCACCAATTATTCAAACCCCAACCTGCACTGGTTTTTAAGTTTTTTCACAACTATTACAAATACGTTGAATGCCCAAGTAAGATGGACATGATTTGGCCACTTGTCACTGATCACAGTGGGTAAAGATGTTCAAGATCTTTGTTTGAATTAGGATTTTTTCAGAAAAGCTGTTTTCTTTTTTGAGCACTAGGTTCAAGAAACTCAGTTTCGTGATTTGATTTGTTAATATACACCATTGCTTTTGAGAAGAGAAATAAAGAGAAAAAGAAAATAAACTTATGAATGCATGTTTGTCCATCAACTTGGGCATGCCTAGCATCAGCATGGAAATTTCAAGATACTTCAGGGATCCTTCAGGAGGGACTTCTGGGAGCAGCACTTGGACAAGATACAGGAATACCGATGTAATTTATGCTGAAGTAAAGAGAATGATTAGTGAGAGAGAATTCGGGATAATTAGAAGCATAGCCATCAGTTCAGTGATTTTGGCTAAAAGCAACGTAAGTTTTAGTAACTGTCACCATTAGTGGCTACTCATGTACTATGCCTTCATCTGGTCCATTTTCCACTTTCATTATTAGAGGATCATAGAGAGAGATAAGATAACCATGGCCTTTAAGAGGATCATAATTTATCTATTTTGGATGCTATTAACATGAAGAGAACCACATAAATGCAGATGCATACATCGAGAGGGGAGAGAGAAGGTGCTCTTAGGGTGAAGCTATGAACCACATATGCCCACTCTAGAATGAGATCCATATTGGTGATACCCCTTAAAGTTTTTGTTGACCACTGCCCAGGAGATAATGGAAGCCCTGATATTCTCCTAAACTAATGTGGCCCCCGTGTACCTTTTCTACATTAGATTCCAGTATTCCTCTCTTCCAAATGCCGCAGAAAATTACAAGGAAAAATAACATCCCTACGAGCTTTCCTTTTCAGGCAAAATGCCCGATACTTTAGTGGTATAGGAGCGGTGCCACAATGTGCAGCCATACCCAGTACACACCAATAGCTCCAGGAAGGCTCACCATAAATGCCTGGCAAGGAAACAATGAATGAACAAGCATTCCACCTTTTCCACTGCTGCTTGACATAGAAAACAGATGTTAGGAAACTAAAAACCCTATGTTTAAGATAACTTTTCTTCTAGTTGGGACATTGACTAAGATTACCGGAACTTTCATCTCTTCTTGGGTGCAGGTCTTGAGAAAGTCTATAGACATAGTTCAAAACAAGAGAGGCTAAACCTAAATAAGCCATCAGGAATAGACCCAAGGTTCAGCTGCGAAAAATATATCTAGAAACGTAATTTCACTGAATACTAGAACTTGTGATTGTTGGGTGGCATCATGAGCCAAAGTGAACATCGAAGCTTCAAGGCCCATGGTGGACCACTAAACCAGTGTAACTCCACTGCTACAAAACCGATGCCTTCTTAATTGGCCATAGCGTTTTCTACCAACATTTATCAGGGTTTTTGGTAGCAGAGGATGACAAATTGAACATCATCCTAGGGATGACTCAAAACACAATGGCACAATGGAGATTAGAGCATAGAAGTTTTCAAGATGGTGATATGTTAGTGATCACTCTTTTACTGATTCCCTGGATAAGGAGAGGTTTAACAGAAGAGATCTATTCATTGGTAATTCACTCCCAGTTCCTTGACTCATACCTCTATGAGGGACTAACCCTATAAAATTTAACATTATATATTTCTAGGGCACACAACACGTTGAATGCATAATTTTGAGAATGAAAAAGTTAAATCTAACATTTTTTCTCTTTCTGTAGTTGTGGACAATAATATGGAACTAACCAAATAAACAGAAGTAATTAAGAGCAGTCCAAGCAGTTCATACCATCAACTCAGAAAACAGATATGTCAGTCATCCAGTAAAATTACTAAAAGTATACTTGTACAAAATTGGAACCCATCAATTAACAGATGTGGAACTCAATATATTTCAACAAATAACGTACCTTAGCCAGATATGAATCTGGGAGATGTAGGTCTCCAGGGTTATCTTACCAAGCCACCTTAAGAGAAAAGGAAAGAATATAAGACTCTACAGTGCCCCAAATTCAGAAATATGCATCGTGCAAATGAAAGATCGTAGGCTAAGATTAAGGCCCCTTACACAAAGAGTGTTAAAGAGCAGCTTCGAAATTGTTGAGTGACATTTCTAAGGCAAATGTAGACACTGATTCACACAATTAACATATATTAGTAACTTGAAATACAGACCTAGTAACACCATCATGATCACAATATTATTTGAAATAACAACACTTCGTACTCACGTTATTGGAATCCATGACGTATAGGGATGATATTTGTTATAGTTAATCTTGTCCAACTTGTAAATATATTCATACCATAGATAACCCACCTAAAGTGGCAAAACTGAACATTTGTCAGAACCACATATTTAATTAGAAGCCTATCTATCTTGTTAAACACACACTTGGGCCACAGAACTGTTCAACTAACCACTAAAGCGATTGCAGCTACAGTTGTTTTTATTGCTACTCTAATCTTGGTTTCAGACTCTTCCAGTTTTTCCATCCATCTTTCAACCTGTAATGAGAGAGGTTTGTCAACCCAAATTATCTACATGTAAATATGAGAAAATGGTGGCAAGTTAACCTATGCCTACTACAACAAGCCAATTCCCAACTCCCAAACATCGAAAGCAATTTCGATGTAATGATAATAATACAAAGGAAGTGTACTAAATTCAATTGGAAGTCAATGGAAAAATGTAGTTCATTGGGGTCATTACTATCCAATGAAATGGTGGTAATGGAGGGAGGGATCCAGCAACAAGGTCATGTCATGGAGGCTCCTATTCTCTCTATATCTATGTCCATTATTCAATCCGGAGGTGATGACCCCAATGGACTACGAGAACAGCATAGTCCATTTGGATTATAACATACTTTCACAAAAAACAAAAAGATCAAACACGTACAGTAGGATGATAGTACGCATATATCATTCCAATAATCCAGATATACCGATCAAGACCCGACCTAAATTGCCACTCATGCAAGCGAGAGTATTGCTTTTTCGAAGGATCTGGGTCATTGTACCCTGCATTTATCTGTGGGTTTAGTAAAACCATCATCTATAACAAAAAACAAGACACACACACACATATTTGCATGTGTACAGTACCATTTTATCCACACTGACCTAAAAGAAATGTTAGCGGGCTCCAGAATATTTCGAAAACTCCCGGCACCTCCCAAATCAAGATAACCACCAAAAAGCAAGCTGCCACTTTTGCAGCAATGACTGATCCAATTTCATTGTATTTGTGAAAAATTCCAAGGGCACCATAGACCATAAGAGTGAAGAGTGTATGCATGGGGCATATGTAGTAAAGCATGTAGTTGTTGTTTAGTACAATGCAACAAAATGTGACGAACAAATTGAGCCGCCACATCATCTGCATACCAAGCAATAGGATGTTAATCAGCTGTAAAAGATTTGTAATGAACAATAGAAAAAAAAGTCAAAAGCCAAAATTATTCACCAAAAAGAAAAATCCAAGATATCATAATAGTTCCTGAATCACCTGCATAGACCATGCAGGCGATCCAGAAAATATCAGGAAGTAACAGGACCTGTAAAGATTCAAACTACTCTTTTTCACCCCAGTTTGGTGCTACAAATACCAGAAAAGTGAGAGCAAAATTATAAAATAAGTAGCTTAATATAGCCGTTGAATAAAAAAGTGATGAGTCCACATATCTTCCAAACAAGAATATAAACAAGGTAAACCCTAAAAATTTACTGTGTTAGCATGCAAACACAATGGAAATGTACCTGAGCAAAACGTGCCAGGCTGAAATCCTTACGAACATAATAATATGAAAAATTGCCAAATCCAGTCATCCAAACATATGAGGCAATAAATACACGAATCGCATTATAAATTTCAGTTGCCGCGAAGTAGTGGTACATCAAAAATAACACCTGTTAAGTTGAGAATGACAAATTAGCGAACTTCATAAGATATTTTGTTCTCACCTTAACTCTGAAGAAAAGAACAGAAACTCAATATTCAACTTGGAGTTACAACATATATTTATATATAACAGAATGCAGTATGACCATCAGCTAAATAGCCTGAATAGAGGAGTTAATTCTTTGGATTTTGATTTAGTTATTTTTTTCCCCAAACGAAGCTGAAATTAGAACTTCTGAACAGTTGATTGCTAGTACAGGATGGCATTATGATGATATCTAACAGATGGAAAACATGCATTATTCACTATCAATATTCATTCTTCATCATCTGAGCCTTATCCCAAATACTTGGGGTCGGCTAAAATAAGCTAGTACTGTAAAAGATAACAAAAATTAGCAAGATGACAAGATTGAATTTGGGTTAACTTCGGTATAATAAAACATCATGAATTTCTGTGTAATTTCAGGCAGAATTGAATACATGGAGAAAGAGAATCCTTAAAGAAGTATTGTAAATGAGGAAGGAAATTCTCGAAAGGACACAGTATTTGAAAAAACTTGCCACTGTAAACTTTAGCATTTCACTCTCAATCCACTCAGGCAACGAACTTGTTTTATTAAAATTAAAGTTCATTAATCATCAAACGAAAAAGGACACGGTTTCTATGTGGCCAAGCCGGCATATGTAGAAATGCAGGCCTCTTAATAGATCTTTTTTTGAGATGGATTTTAACACTTAATTTTTAAGGACATGTAAATAAATAAATAAATTTTAAAACCTAGAAATAATAATTCTAGTAAGAAAACATTTGGACCATTAGTTTACATTGTTTTTACATGGAACACCTACTTGCGTCCATCTTTAAGATGGATGCTTTACACTTTCTGGACCGCAAATGTAGAAATGCGGTCCAGCCCACATGAAACAATTTTCCAAAGAAAAAAGTATACATCACTTTGTACTGGAAGTTGCAAGCTATTAAGAAAGATCAAGGGTTTCTAGATGTATCTCATAGGTTAACTTTTCTGTGCTCGTTAATGGTTACCGACACAATTACTTCCACTCCTCAAGGGGGCTTCGCCAAGGTGACCCCTGTTCCCTTTCCTTTTTGCTACCATAGCGAAGATCTTCAGTTCTTCCATTACCAAACTATACAACAGCTAACTCCTCACTGGGTCCCCCACCTCTCCAAAGGGGCCAACGATATACAACCTCCAATATGTAGAGAACACCCTTGTCATCCATGATGCAAGTCTCACGCAGGTCGATAAGCTGTGGCAGTTCATCAGTCATTTCTCACCATTAGACACAATCTCAACAAAAAAAAGGTTAATCTTTTGAGGGTTCGTCTATCCACTGATAGAACCTTAGATCCAGGTTGACCGGTGGACTCCCTCCCCAGTCCCCAGTAAGCATTTTGGATTACCGCAGGGTATGGGGCAGCTAGGAAGACACTTTGGAAGGGGGTGGTGGAAAAATTCGAAGGAGACTATCTGTCTGGAAATGCATTTACCTATTTTCATCCCTGATCAAGGCCCCTTTGTCTAATATTCTGGTGTTTCGAATGTCAATTTTCAGAATGTCAGTGTCTATCAAGCTCTGGCTCAAGCACTGCACTAGGGAGTTCCAATGGGCATAAACTCCACCTTGTGAGATGGGAAATCAACAATAGTACTTAAAACAGGGTGCAATCGGAATTGCAAGGCTGAAAAACTGCAACGCAGCGTTGTTGTGGTGGTTGACATTCGCCACAGAAGATAACTGTTTGCGGTGGCGAGTGATCAAGCACAAATACATGGTAAACAACTCTAGCTAGCTTCCTAGACCAACCAACCATAGGACCTCAGGTGCTTGGAGGGCTATATCCACTGTTCCCATAGCTTTCTCTTCCCAGACCAGAATACTTGTGATGTCCAGCAATGGAGTCAGATTTTAGAAAAAGGCGGGCTGGCTTCTGAATGCTAACAGTTAGAATTCCCTCAAGCCTTTCTCACTGCCTAAAACCAATATGTCAGGGTCACAAAATACAGAAAATTTTGGGTGGGCCAACAGTTTGCTTGCCTACTTTCGGGTGAAACTTGAATGACAATGAAGCTCTAGAATCTGGACCTCCTAAAATCGTGCTTCACCACATATGGGTGATGCCAAACTGGTGTGGACTTCAGGCCCTTCAGGTACTTTCTCAGGCTCTTCTTCCTATGGTGCTCTCAATCCCTTTCCCACTAGCTGAGCCATTGCCTGGAGGGCCTGGTTTGCCCTTATGCCTCCTACGATACAGGCATTCACTTGGATGGTTATCTCGAATGAAGCCCTGACTGAAGATCCAAGTACAAACAAGAGGTATCGCCCTTCCTAACTAATGCTCTATGTGCAAAGCACTGGAAGAAAATATAGACCATCTATTCCTCGATTGCAGGTTTGCTTCACAAACAGGGCATGGGCCACGAAACGTTTTGGGTGGAGTGGGGTCACACACCACACCATCACTCATTAGTTTGAGTTATACCTCTCCCATCCCTTCCCAGCACAGGCCTTCTTTTATGAAGGCCCACACTATTGCTGAAGGTTGTAACATTTAGGTGCATTCTCAATAATAAGGACTGTGCTGAGTCCACGCTCCACAGTTATCTTCTGGGCATGCGGTAATTAAGAACTTCTCCCTACCCATCAGAGACTCTCGAAAGGAACTGGATATACATTGTTTGGTCTATCCCACCAGCATCCACGAGGTCTTCCCTTTGGATCCTGCCTGATAATTACAAGATCAAGCTGAACTTTGATAGAAGTTCCCTCGACAAGTATTGGAGGAAATTTCAGTAACCACATGGGTGAAACCCCCTTAACATACTCAAGTCCCTTTGGCACAGCTGATGCAACACTTGCTGAATCCCTCCTAATTGGTCTCAAACTATTCAAGAGAAACTGGGGCTCCAGTCTTTTGGTCAAGGGCAACTCCCAAAATGTCATCAATTGGGCTAAATTTCTATCTCCTCCATCCCATGGGGACTAGAGCATATTAATTATATTCTAATTTTCATGACGGCATGGGATATGAGGATCCTCTATATCTAAATCAACAGGCTGGAAGGTGATGGGAGAGTGGAACTACCACTAAAGTCAATTCTGGTGGATCCTAATCTCTGCACCACCTTTCTGCATATTGATTTGATGGTGATGACCATCATGACAGCATAATCCATGTTGCCGTGCACACTCAAATATTCATAATCTATAACATCCAAATAAATAACGTTGTTGTAATTGTACTTGCATTTTGAGAGGTTCCTATCAAATGATTTAATGTAGCATTGTTTTATACATCAATTTGGATTCATGATTATGCCCCTGAGGATATATGAATTCATAAAGGACGGACCATAGCCAAGTTCCATGACAATTAACGTTGAGAAAAATGTTCCCTATTTCTGAGTCCTATCTTATCCCTAAGGCTGAATTAAAGCTGATGGATTTGGCCTAACCCCTGGCCAAAGCTTGATGGGCCAGCCAAGAACTGTTTAAAATCTAAGGGAACATTAGTGGCACTTTTTAAGTCAAAGTAAACAGCCCTATTCCTGTCCATACTTAAAAAGAATAGGCATGATTATATCTGATACAGAGCACATCTAGACTAAGTCAGGTGGAGCTTCCATCGAAGTTCACTGATCTCTACCCTAGATCTCAAGATTTCCATCAAGTTCCATTCGCTCTTCCACACTCAGAGATCAGGACATCTACCCTGAGTCCATGTAACTCTGCAAAGACAAGAATCCATGGAGGCATAAAATCCCAAATATGTACTACACTTTCCCCACTACTAGTGCAAATTGTTGGAAGTCATGGATTTGCTTTGATTCTCATTCTTTCCTACCTGCATGGACCAAGCATTAGGCATCAGGGTGTTCATCATTATTTTTTGATATCTTATTACTGGAAATCATGGATGACCAGGTAGGTGTGTACCTTCTGCCCAGTCTCCTACTAATCACTTTCAGGAATATCTTCGTGGTTAGCTCAAGTAGTTCAATATTTATAATTTGGTTACTTGATGGTAATAAAAGTACATAAACAAGGTATTTCCATGGCAAAGTTGTCAATTTCAAGTTTTGATGGAGTTTACTGCAAGGAATTGTACTTAAAATTGCAACAAGTGATACAGCTGATCAGCAGATTTCAGCTCTGGAGTCTAGACAGAGAAAAGTGAAATGGAGGAGGACACTTCATGAGTCGAAAAAGACCATAATTAAAGACAAGATTCAATATGTCAAGGATTGTTTCTTTTAGTCGGTCAATATGCCAAAAAGTTTGTTCCACTCCAAATCAAAATCGTAGCTACCAAGCTCTCTTCATCAAAGTATAAATTTAGCTCATATACACAATTAACTAAGTCTGCTCAAGCATGCTTAAATCGAGTTGAGGAGCTATGTGACTTGATTTAAGTTTTCTACGATGCTATTGTTTACAAGCATTCAGTTCCATTTCCTTGCGGAACCATGCTACCTCCCTCTCTTTCTCGAGCTATGTGACTTCATTTAAGTTTTGTATGAAGATACTGTTTACAAGCATTCAGGTCCATTTCCTTGTGGAACCATCTTATGCAAGACTCCCTCCCTCTCTGCTTCAAATGTTAACTTGGGATCTGGTGACGATGAAATTCTAGACATTATGTTGTGGCACCAGCCACACTGACCACCTCTGCCTAGAGCATGCTCGTTATGCAAGACTCACTTTTGAATAAATAAATTTTACATTGTTTCATTGATATAGTTGTCCATTACAATTTATGAGTTGTTTCTGTTTTCATGTTGGCAATTCGTAAGCGTTTCATATAAGGGGAACTATAAAAAGTCTTTCCAGCAATGGCTTTCCCCATAGACCCAAAAACCAACTGCTAAAGTTTAGAAGTTAGACCTGGTCTGGAAGAATCAGATACTAAATAACCTGTCCCTTTGAAAGATTCCTCAGATACTAAATAACCTGTCCCTTTGAAAGATTCCTCACATAAAAGTGAAAGGTTAAAACAACTAGAAATCCTCTTGCATGAGCAAAAAAGAAAGCCAAAATCCCCTCGAATCACCACCTGTCCCATAGTGCCAATATGCTACAAATCCCTGACACCTGCAGCCCTTCAATTCTGTTGCTTACCTTACAGGAGCCCCGATAACCCTTTCTACTACGAAATTTAAACCCCCTTTCAACTTTGGAGCTTAAGCATGTTGCAATAAGGCTTATACCTTGATACACTCTCCTGTGCGTGAAATATCCAAACCATGCCACTGTTCCCACTACGTAACAGGAGATACTATCTCCATAACCCAGATCCATTTCTAAACATGTTTCTTCCATGATAAAAGACTGTGTTTCTTTCACTATCCCCTAATGCTTCATTGCAATTACCAAAAATACCAATTTGAGTAAAGTTTTCACATAATCCCCTAGATATATTATATGGGATGTAGGGGTTCTACTTATTATTCTACCACAGAGCCAAAGGGGACACCTTCAGATTCCCCTATCTACCCAACCTATATCTCCTTTTTCCTTTCACTATCATGGCCACCCTCCCCCCATGGCCCACAGCACATCTGATATTGGGCTCAGAGTCTCCTTTCTAATGCAGAATTCATCTGACCTAGGCCCACACCCCTCGAACAGTCCTTTGTACAACGAATTGTTCAGGGAATATGACTTCTGAAAACAGATGAAGAAGGTTCTGTCATATATACTATTGTTTTCTATTTAGAAAACCATGATAACATTGAGTGTCAGGAGTGACTCTTTTATTCATCATTATCACTCCTGAGCATCCCTTCCTGCTTTCCCACACCCAAAACCAAAGATAAACGAAGGAAGAAGAAATCATAGACAAGCAAACACAAGAACAAGACAAAACTGCCCCTAGATTAATTTGCTAAACCCATCCAAGTAATTACATTAAAAGAAGAACAACCATAGAAAAGTAAAACTTTCTCCAAAGGATGAAAAAATTAAAACTAGCATAACAAAAGCATCCTCAATGACAGTCTGCATACAAGAAGAAAATGGAGCATGACTATACAACAATAGCAAATAAAATTATATTAAACTAAATTAGACAGAGAGTAAACTTCTCTTCCACATATAAATAAAAAGAATTAACAACCTGCATCCAGCCCTTCCATTCCTCGGTTTGATGTCTGTTAAGATACAATATGGATTTGCCAGTAAGTGCTGACTTATCAAGGAGTATCTTGAAAGAAGTCATCGCTGAAACTATGATTAGAAGGAAATAAAGAAAGAGGAAGAGATCCCGGTTGTAACTCTGCAACAAATATCATGGCAATCTTAGCATCTCATAAGACAAACAGCATACAAAGAAATCCAGTAAGGAATGAACATCAAATTGCCAAGTGAAACAACACCTTAAAAAAAAAAACAATGTACAAACAATATGCCTTCAAATGAAAAACAGAAGGGGACTTTTAGTCCCATGATGTAGAAAGAGCAAAATGATATGGAACTGAAATTTCCATTTCATTTTCTCATTTTATGATCAAGAAACACCCACAGACAAGTATTATGGGTACGATTTTCCAAATAAAGAATTTGCACACAAGTGTTTAAATAGCAAAGGTTGATTGTCGATCGAAACAGAAAAGGCACCTTTTTCGACTCTCCAAACAAATTTGTCCGATCACATATGTAGAAGTAGATCAGAATAGCCCCAAACTCTGACCTGCAAGTTATAGCTTCAAATAAGCCACAATTGACCCAAACAAGATTTTAAGAGTTCACAATCCAAAACCAGATGGCTCCAAGTATACTTACATTGCTCTCAATATCAACCTATTCTCAACCAAAAATGTTTCATCCATGAAAAAGAACCTGAAGCAATTTGGCAAAACAAGGATAAATTATCAGAATGGATGACGAAAGAAACCAACAACTCTGACCAATAATTTCAATCCAACCTGAGAAGGTTAGATTTAATGGAATGGTGGACTTTTGTGGAAGCAGGTTGAAGGCCTCCTTCCAGCAGTGCAGTTCTATCATCTTCCTTAACAGTTTCACCGCCCAAGTCAGCCAAGTTAATCTCTGAATGCCTGCTGCAACAAATATTAAAGAAATTCACACGACTAAGCACATACATCTAGAAAGGGATACTTTTCAAGGATGGCCTCAATTATGCTTTAACATCAAGAACAAAACAAACAAACAAAATAAGCAATAAAATGACTACAAGCATCCTTATATGGTCAGCCATATGCATGCATTGTGAATGATCTATTCAATATGCGATACCGCTTTGCATTTGTTGTGGATCTAATCTATGGATAAGACATCCTATGACAACTTTGCACTCTGCGGCATTTTTCCCTATTAAGATAAAACACCTAGATTTTACTTACCACTAATAGAAAATAAAAGAGATAAAAACAATAACATGGAACATACTAAATCCGACACATTCAGATGAATGATTCCTATTAGATAGCATTGTGTATCAAGGACCCTAAGTAACATGGACAGATTTTGTTATGAAAACTACAGAAACCTTGTCTTGTCCAAAATTCAATACAATCACAGGTCATATAACTTCACGTTTTGGGCATATGGAAAGAATCAAATCATATTCCATGCAAAAGAAGAAAATGGAAACACATACAAATGAGACAAGGCCATTCAAGTAATAAAGGAATATGAATCATAAAAAATATATTAATTAACAATGTTTCCCATCATACAAAATAATTTCAACAAAACTAGTGAATATGTGCAACACCCCTTAACAATGAGATCAACTAATAGGGGATCGAAAGCAAGCATACTAAGGAGAAATCTGTAGAGCCATACAATTGGCTCACATCGGGCCAAATGATATGCAGCAGACCATCCACAATATTGGCTTGCTATGAAACATAATAAAGTCGATAACCAAATTTAAGTTTCAGGTTGTCCTCCAGAATTTTCAATCTCAACATCACAACGTTTCCTGATGATATGCTATTGTGAATAAAGAGAAACGAAATGAAATATGGATATAACTAAAATTTTATATTCTTAATGAAAGGACCATCCAACACAAATGATGTTAAGTGAAAAGGAAAATCAATCACTGTTATAAGCTAGCTGATTTGAAACCGTTTATTTTTTCTTCTTTTTTTTAGTAAGGCTCGTTCATAGTATTAATCACTGAGATTATGGAAGTCGGGCATGATTCTATCCAACTTGCATTACATTCAATATCCTATCGGAGGATCTTTGCATTACATCAACGAATACAGGGTTGAGGGAGATGCCCCCTAACTTACATATAAAAGACAACTTGCTAAAAAAATTTTGTGCAGGTGGGCAAAGGTGCTATAGCAAAGTAGCATAAAAGCATAACAAAATAAAAGTTCAAATTTTCTCCATCATTTGCAAGTAGATAATTAACAACAAGCAATCCACGAGATACTTTCAAGACAAAAACTTCACAAAGAAACTTGAAAAAAAATTTAAAAGTGAAAGAACAAAACAGTTGATCTCATTCTATTGGCAACATAAAAACACATACAGGCCCAAACTTTATCATCTAGACAGAAAGATAACTGGCCCATCATGGCTAGAGGACAATGCCCAGGTCCAAAACACTCCACATAGCAACACAAAGGATAATACAATTTACAGTTTGCAATTTAACATCTTAAACTTACGCTTTGGTAGGGGTTGAACTTTTCCTGTACTCCAATATTTCAGAATATATCCATGCTACAAACACTGGAGTTATTCCGAGGAAAAATGACACCTGCAACATGGGCATACATGAAACATATGAAATTAAAAAGGCTATTCAACTGTCTAACATTACAAAACATCAAGCAGCAAGTATGAAGTCTTCAGAAAATCAACTCGGCCCAGGTACTTGGACCTTGGACGAGGCAAGAAACTCACGCAAGTCATGAGTAACTCGCTCGACTGCAGTGCACGTTATTTTAAAAAGAAAGAACAAAATAAATACTACAACCTGCATTACTTTAGCATAAGACATTGAATGTCATACTCATTGGGTTGTCCACCCTCGTACACTTCGTTTTAAGAGCTCATGGGTTCGATTCCCACAAGCATTGTTTTTTCTTTTTCTTTTTTTTTCAGGCTCCTATTCTTAACCCTAAAAAAAAGAAAAAAAAAATGAAGTCTTACCTGGGGAATTAAACCCCAATAGCTTCCAAAAGCATGCGCATACACTATCCAAAAGGACATTCAAGCATTTACGATGTACAGTTGCCACAACAACATACATTTACCATTTAAAAATCGGTACAGCCTACTCAGATAAAACCCGCCCCGAGTAACTCGGTCAAGTCCGAGTGGCCCTGGCCGAGTCTCAAAACACTGACTCTTCATATCTGAAAACACTAGATGTTTATGTAATGTGAATGCTTGTAGAAATAAAGAGCATAAATTTCTCTAAATATGAAGATCCAGAAGCCCTTTAGCAATAAGATGGTCAAAGGATATTAATTTGTTTCACAATTCAGTAAGAGTGAAGCACATAACTATCCCTAAGCTAGCTGACAACACTTGACGGGAAGTGACCTTAGAAATCAAGAATCACATCAGAAAATTTCCAAATGAACTCTTAAAGAGGTTTTTAAAATGTCTTCAAAAAGAATAATATCAGTAACTTGTATAAGTCCAAAACTCCCTGCAAACAACAAATGATGCATAAACATGGAGATAAGTATACATTAAATTGGTTTTTAACTCTATCTTACATCCTCCATATCTCATCATGGCATTCAATAAGCCTAATATCTAACTGAAAACAATCAAGAAATCCGAAAAAAAAATGAAAAATAAGGCGTAAATTCCCGGCCCATCCATTCTTATTGTTGAAAACTAACGTGAACATTGTACTGAGTTCTATGAACTCACCACAATTTCACATGAGGATGAAAACCAGACTCTTTGTGCATATTCAGAGGAAATAAGCAAAACCCATTATATTGCAATGATCAAATCGCATTAGTCCACCCATCAAGAGCTTCAGAATTGAATAAACAGCAGGATCCCCAATCTCTCTCTCTCTGTAAATTACGCAGAAGAAGCATCAAAGCATAGCAGAAGCTAACGCCAATTCAGATACCTGGCCAGGAGTAAGCGATCCGGAGACCACCATCTTGCTTAAGACCACCACCCAATAGCCAACAAATCTAGAGAGAGAAAAGTGATGATCAGAAATGGAGTGAATTAACATGCATTGCTACCAAAACACGATTACCGTAGCCAGAACTCAAGATCTGGTAAAAACCCAGATCAAAAATCCACAATTCAGCCCCAAGGAAAACCCGAAATTATGAGATTTTATAGAGAAATTATATGGCAACTTGGGGTAGAGAGAGAGAGATGGTTTTGGTCAGAAGGAGAGAGGGTGGGGGTGGATGAGTGAGAGAGGGATGAGATGTGAAGCGTTTTATTCTTGAATTTCGAAGCGGGTGGGTGACAGAGAGATCGATTTTTTATTAATGGTTGGTCGTTGGAGGTGGAGAGACAGAGAGAGATCAACGAGATTTATCAGAGAGGGAGAGAGTTGCAGGAAGAGGGAGATTACTGAAATGGAATTTTGAGGAGAGAGAGTAATTAAAGAGATTTGTGATAATGCTCCGTATCGACAACAACATCGCAAACATGCCCCTGTGTACTCACCAGCTTTTGACACTCCTATCGCCCATCTTCTTAAGTTTGGGTCCGGTTTGTATACAGCGGAGGCCCTAAACAATCTAAGTAAAGCGCAATTTTAAATAGTGTTTAGAAATGTGGTTTTAATATTGAAAATGTAGTTTTAATACTGAAAATTTTTGTCTTAAAATATATTTTTATTTTTAATTATAAAATTTAGAGCTTTAAAAATAGTGCAGATCGAGCAGATCTATGAAAATTTTGAAAATTGACTGTTCAAAAATGCGATTCAAGATGCACTATGTCCAAAACTTAAAATCTACTTCTTCTTTTTTTTTTTTCTCATATCTATGCATCTTGATGACAAGATGATCAATTTGAAGATATTTGAGCATCAAAACAACCTCTTCTATAAAGATTTTTGAGGTGGGCTTTATTCTAAAAGAGATTTTTGAGGTGGGCTTTATTTCTATTGTTTAGAGCCTTTTTCCTATTTAAGTTACATTTCTGTCCCATGCTTTCATTTTACTCTCTCGCTCCCTTCTATTTTCTTGAAATGACGTGACGTCCCTACCATTTCGTAGTTTTATTTATGCCAAAATATTTTCTACTCTCACATGAGTATATTATCTATCTAGTCTCTTGGGTAAACATTAAGCGTAAATTTTGGGATGTGATTTAAAACCTGGCAATCAACCTTAACTGTAAAAATAAAAATAATAAATAATAAATATAATAAACTACTCTCACTTTCTGTGTGCCTGAAAAAATGGCATCCCTAAATTACAGTATAACTATCCCTTTTTTAGGGAAATAATCTAAACGTTCAAGCTCAAAATCCTTTTTTTTTTTCTTTTAAATAATCATCTATTTATAGTTAGATGGAACCCAATTTTTTAAATAAAAAACAATGTCCCAAGAAGTGTCTTGCCCAGTAGAGTAAATGTATAGTATGTCCCCATGGGGAGCATGTTATAGGTGAACGTTTGCGTCTAATTAAATCGTGGAAAAAAGAGAAGTGACTAACACTCAAATTAAAACTTTAAGAAGTGACAAAACTGTGTCAACGACCTTTGATTCTCTTAATAATATACAGAATTGGAGAAATAGAGGTTTCTAATTTCTATTCAATATTTAAAATCTCCAACTTGGCAAGAGTCACAAATCAAATTTTGGTTTAATACATAATCTTAGTTGTTTTCGTTTCATAAGCCACTTTGTTCTACAAGTACCGCTATTGCACATTTGAATATTCACATCTCCTTTTTGTATTCTCTACACACTTAAACATGGGAAAATTTTATATAAGGTTCAGCCCTTCATCATCATCATTATCATCATCTAAGTCCCCATCCCAACTACTAGGGGTAAGGTATATTAGTCATGTTTGGCCATTTTACTCATAGTTTTATAATTTATGATAAGATTTGATAAAGTTTGACACTAACTGTCCTACCTAACATAATCATTATCCTTTATCAATGCTTGGGACCGTCATGTCCGGCTTACCCGCAGCCAAGGCAGAGTAGATATAAAGATGAAGCCCTAAATAATTTAGGTTTTAGTTTGGACTCGCTCATTCTTCTTTCGATAGGAATGCACACAGTTAGAGATCGATGTCCTTAGCAATAGGAATGCACACGGTTAGAGATCAACGTCCCGAGCGGACACGTGAATGTTCTATTTAACTTAATTGGTACTACTTCACTATTGGTCAGGATTAGCCGTCCTTGCTGAATCCTCTAGCTACTAAGATGTTTTAGTCCGCTAAGTAATGTTTTGCCCATGGGCAGTTTGCAATGTTGGTTGACCCAAGCTTATTTTCAACTCCACTCGCTTGCTACGTCTATGTGGGTGCCTTTCCTCACTTGAACCTAGCCGGTGAGAAAGCGAATTGAACCTTAGGTTCAAACGAAATTAAAGCAACGTGGTAGGTAGATAGCCCACCCAGACATTAGACTAGACCAAATCGATCAAAAAAGTAAAGCGCACCTAAATAATTAACAAGAAAATGTTGTTTTTGATACTAAAAAACCTAAATTGATCGTCTCAACCTCATGATTTACAAACGTGAAATCAAAAATTGTATTTTAAGTATGGAAAACTACACATCATATATTGCATTATATGGGCTGTCAATTTTCAATATTTTCAAGTATTTATAGGTCTACTCAATCCACACTATTTTTTAAGCTTTAAATTTTATAATTATATATGAAAATAAGTTCTCAGACCATCATAAAGATTTTTGCTAAGAAAAAATCATCTTTTGACACTATTTAGAAGTACACCTTACTTTGATTGTTTAGGACCTCAACCCTATAAAAACCACACCGTTTTTTGTATCCGTCCTCCAAAAAGCTCTACCTCTCATTCCTGGACTGTGTTTTTATATGCAATTGAGAGTATATTTTCTCAGATTTTATGAGTTCAATTGTTGACTTTGAACTTTACATTAATAAGACCATCTAGCATTTCACTTTGCAAAAATTTGTTTTTTTATTTTATTTTTTATGTTATATATCTATGAGACCATTTATCTTTATTACAATGAGATCAAAGTTACACCTGGCCATTAGATATCAATTTAGATGGCTTGAGATGTATCACGAATTTTGATAAATTTCATTTGAACTTTAAGTCCCGCCAATAATACTCTTACAATCACCCAATTTAAAATATAATAATAATAAATGATTGTGACATTTTTGTATAAAAAATAAATGGTCTCCTTATATGTTTTTTCTTTTATATTTTCTAGTCATCCTACAATAATAATGAGTACAATAACAATCATCATTGACTTAAGGGTGCGGTTTGCAAAACAATCAAATTAGAGCCTACTTTAAAATACTGTCGAGAATTTCAATATTGGAAATCTTTGTGATAGCCTTAAAACATATTTTCATATTTATTTATAAAGTTTAAAGTTTAAAAAATAACGTAGATCGACATATCTATGAAAACTTTAAAATATTGAAAATTGACAGTCCACTACAAAATACACTATTTTCAAACTTGAAATCCTTGTTATCTCATATCCATATATATAGATATCAAGATGATCAATTTGAAGATATTTGAGCATCAAAACAACTTCTTTTAGTAAAAATTTTTAGTTAAGCTCAAATTTGATTGTTTAGAACCTGGGTCTATATAAAATTTTGTCTTACGTAAAGGCCATGTGATTTCATAGGCATCTTAGCTCCAAGGGCGAACTCGATATATGTTCAAAACAGAAGGGCGTATTAATCGTTATCCTACTAAGGAACGCTTGCCCGTAGACTGTGACATTGTAACTCCACGTCGGTGGGTGTGGGCCCATCAATAACGGGTTAAAATATGGGTATCGAGAAGGGCAATCATTTTCAATCTTCTTATGAAACCGCGTATCACATGGACAATTGTTTTGTGCTGGCCGAACCGCATTTCTATATAATATACAGTTCACACAAACAAAATTCAAAATTAAAAATATAATTTTTAATTATTATTATTATTTTAAATTTATCTTCTAATTTTAGGAGGAGTTCACAAAAAAAAAAATTCAAAAACAAAATTCGAAAAATATTATTATTATTATTATTATTATTTTTTAATTTATCTTTTAATTTCATAAATATGAGGTGTACAAGGATAATTAAATGGCCATTAATTTATTTTGTGCATGAATTGATATTGATTAATTGGATTGGTTAGTTTATAAAAAATATATAAATATGATAAGGCATGAATTGATATTCATCAATTGAGTTGATTAGTTTCTAAAAGAAAAAATATAAAACATTTTGCTTCTAGGGGAGGCTTTGGATAAAACGTCGGCTATCTATTTAGAAGCGAATCTTTTTGATACGTGAGGTTAAGAGAGAGAAAATAAGGATGAGAGATAAAATAATGAGGAGAGACAAAATAAGAAATATAGGGTTTTTTTAGTTATTGTTTATCTTATTTTTTTAATACATTAAAGGGAGATCTCCCTCCCTTGTAAATCGGTGAATGAGTTCGATAAAATTTGATATTGTAAATAGATTATTTTGTAGATAGATTCTCTTTGAGAGATGGTATATTATCTCATTTTTTTCTATTATTATTATTCTCATGTTAATTTCTCCCTCAACAATCCAGAAGTATAAAGCATCCATCTTAAGAGATGGATGCAAATAGGTGATCCATCAATCCAAATGTTTTTTTAACACAATTATTATTTATAATTTTCAAATTTTATTTATTATTCATATTCATGATCTCTATGTTAAAGACTATATATTCTCTAAAAATTATAATCAAATTATATATAAAATATATATTTATTGCCAAGCCCGCATTTCTACAATATGTGGGCTAGCTGCATAGAAACCGTATCCCTTGTATATTCACATTATTTGTAAGACGTGGTTAGCATGTGGCCAGCCCGCATATTGTAGAAATGCGGGCTTGGCAATAAATTTTTTAAAATATAATTTTATCCTAATTTTTAAAAAATATATAATCTTTAACATGGAGATCATATATATATATATATATATATATATATATATATAAACTGAAATAATAATTATAATAAAAACATTTGGTCAGGTAGTTATAATTGTTTTTAGACGAACCACCTATTTGTATATTATACCTCTAGACTGCCTATATTGTAGAAATGCGGTTCAGCCCCCGCATGAAACGATTGTACTTATTTCTATTTTATTGTATTCAATAATAATGTGAAATTGTAGTATAGCCGTGCCACTGGGTTTGGGGCTCAAATCCCCACTGACTTTACCACTTTTGCTTACCCAGAAAAAACGGTTGCCCCTTGAGGCGAATAGAAGCCAAAATACTTCCTACTCCTTCGCGAGTATGCTATCCATCTAAATTTTATATTAGGAATGTCTTTTAGACCTTAAATTTTGGGGATTTGATCTCGAGTCCTGCAACTAACCTCAAAGAGAGAAAAAATTAGCGATCTCTAACAAAAAAAATACATCCCAAGGTTGCACTAGAACCATCCGCTTTTTAGAAGGAATGATGTAGATGTTTAAAAACTCAAAATCTATTTTTTAACATTCATTTAGTTATAATTAGATGGATCCTAAAATTTCAAATCACAAAAAAATCTACCAAATAAGTGCGTTACCGGAGGGAGTAAATATATCATATGCGCCTAAACGAGAAAACGACGCCCTTCAACACTTTAATGTTCACCTAAAAAATCCAACCTTCCCATGGTTTAAGGGAAAAATGGAGAGAGATAACATTTGTCAAAATGATGTGAACATGTATGAAGAATAATTTAGGGAAGAACAAACATTGAATTTCGCAAATGTTAAAAAAGAAGTGGGAAAGCTTTATACATGACCCCACCTAGATATACAATATATGTTTGCCCTGCCCATATCTGAAGTGAGTAGATCGCCGAGATGGCATGAGTCAAAATGTTACAAGTTGGCTATTGATTTTGATCCAATGGCCCTGAGTATTTTATTTTTTAATCTTCATTTTATAAATCATTTTGCAGTGAAATTTAAGAGATGCGCACATTGGACAAGGGAGAACATCATAAAAACAATAAAACAATATTTCCTTCTATAGAAATTTAACAAAGTACCCTTAAAACTTTTGGTGCCATTTTGGTTATTTATTTTATGATGAATTTTTCTTTTATTGTTTATAAGTGTGCCCCAATAAGAAGATGGGACACCTCAAATGTCAATAAAAAATATTTTGTAGAAAAAGAAATTAAAAATCAAACAGTATTTGGCTAGACATTGTGAAATGAGTAATCCTAGTAGTCTATTCAGATCGAATGATGAAGAAGTGGGGTTTAGAGCTGATAATTTTTCGGATCGGGTCTGGATCCTCCTAGATTTGGATCTGGATTTAAAAATTATATCGGATCCAGATCCAGATCTAATTGGTTCCAGAATAGATATGGATCCAAAACTATATATAGGATCCAGATCTGCATCTGGATCCATATCAATTCCAATTAAATATTATATATATAAATTAATAAATATACAAATTATAACATATACGTATATGCATATATATAAATAATATATATTATTTTACAAAACTGGTCGGATCTATATCGAATCCACCTATACTTAAATCCAAATTTCAGACCTAGATTTTTTTTTTCAAATCCAAATCGGGTAAATTCTTAGACCTACCACCGATAGACCATCAAACCCATTATACCTCTTTCCCTATTTACTTCTTAGTAGCTTTGCTACCGATTTACACACGTTATTTAATAGGGTGTGGTTTCCAACCGTCAACAATACCTTCAAATTTTATCATAATATATAATTTTGATATAAAATGTTATTAGGATTATTTAAAATCTATTTTTTTTATCTAATTATAAAATTTTAAATTTAAAAAATAATTAAAATCAAGTAAAGCTATAAACATATGAAAATCTTGAAAATGAATGGTGTAGATAATATGTTGTAAAATATACTAGTTTTGAGACTTAAAATATTTTTATTTTTCATGGTCATACATCTCGATGTCGCGATGATCAATGAAAAGGTTTTTCAACATTAAAACTACTTTTCCGATGAATTTTTGAGGTGCATACGTAATTCTGAGGTGCATACGTAATTCTACATTATAAGGTTGCATCCTTATATAAACTTTAACTTTTTCCGATTTAATATGATATGATAATAATGTATGTACTTACTTCCGGCGGAGGAGTCAACGCTGCCTTTTTCAAGCCTACATTATACGATTGCATGTTTATGTAAACTTTTTCCTATTTAATAAGATATGATAATAATTATGATAATAATGTATGTACTTACTTGCAGTAAAAGAGTCAACACTGCCTCTTTCAAGCCTTCAAATATTTATGTATGCAATGTGATCCTCTCTCTCTCCCTCTCTCTTTCTCTATATGAGGGAGCACTTAGGTTTAATGTCCACCTCAACGTCTCCCTCTTCTAGTTTTAAACAATTAATTATTTTGTTTTTTGATGGTTCCTAGTAAGGCCTACTGAACAATTTTACACCCCAAGAATCCAGAAAAAAACATACTAAGGCCTGTTTATTGAATAATTTTTTATTGTCAAAAAAAAATGTTTCTAGAAAACATACATTATAAGTTGCATGATGGAGTGACATGAAAAGGACAAGGCGGATCAGTGGTTTGAAGGAAAGATCATTTTCATGATACAGTATGCTTGCCCACTTCTTTCTTTCTTGGAATTTCTAAGTTCTCCTTTTTTGTTCCAGCATTTCCAAGTTCTCCTTTCGGGTTCCGGCGGAGAAAGAGATTAAAATCCAAAAATTTTGGGACTGTACATCATGGTACATGTATTTTTCTGTTCAGTTTGCTACATTTACCATTAGCCACCCATTGTCGACAGGGGTGAACGAGGGCCAGGCCTTGGTACACACGGGTTAACTCAAGCTATCGAGGCTTATATTCAGGCTAGGTCAAGCCAGGTCCCATGAAGGAGTTCAAACCAGGGCCACATCAGGCCAGGCCTTCCCCATTTGTGCTACATTGGACCAAAAAGGTATATCATAAGGGCCCATTGGGCCTTGGTACTAAAACCCAGTTCGTTAGACTAACAGCTCGGCCCAGCCCAGCCTCGCCAAGCACAACAAGGCTCTATGAAGGGCCTCAAACCTGGCCCATGTCAGGCTGAGCCTTCGAGGCCCTACGGGTCCATTCTTTCGTACCGTTGGTTTCAATCCAGCTGCATCCAGGGTTCTTCATTGCCCCTATCTCTCTCATAACCTCTCTCAACCTACCAACTTCAACCCACTTTCCAAGCCTAGCATAAACCTTAGACAACATGAGATATATAGCAGGATGGTGAGGCGCCAATTCAAACAACTTCTCAGCTGCATAAACCCCAAGTTCCATGTTAGAGTGCACACAACAAGCTCCAAGAAAAGCACCCAAAATCGGTATATCAGCCTCAAATGGCATATCTGTAATCATCTTCTCCACCTCTTTAAGCCTCCCAGCTCGCCCCAAAAGATCGACCATGCACCCATAATGCTCAATCCTTGCTTTAATTTTGTGAACTGATTCCATCTCTTCAAAGTATCTTATGCCATCTTCTACTAAGCCTACATGTCTACAACTTGATAGCACTGCAATTAAGGTAACATGATCAGGTTTAATCCCTTCAATTTGCATCTCTCTGAACAATTCTAAGGCTTTGGAGCCATCCCCATGGTTTGCATAGCCTCCTATTATTGCGTTCCAGGAGACCAAATTCTTCTCTCTCATCGAATTGAAGACGTGTGATGCACTGGCCATGCACCCACATTTTGAGTACATATCAATTAGTGAGCTAGAAAGGACAATATCAATGGGATCACAATACCTTAAAACCATGGCGTGAAGCTTTTTACCGGTTAAGAGAGAGCAACAACCAGCACAGGCACTAAGAACACTAGAATAAGTGCATGGGTTTGGTTGGATGCCTGTTGCTTCTCTCTCTTCGAGCATTTGATGAAACAAACACAATGCTGCTTCAAATTGCCCACTTTGCTCGAGCCCACTGATCATAGCAGTCCATGAAAACACGCTCCTCATCTCCTGGGGCATTCTGTCAAATAGAAGGCGAGCAGGATGAAACATTTTGTTGCAGAGGTAACCAAAGATCATGGCATTCCAAAATGCTGAATTTCTATGAGGAATTTCGTCAAACACGTTTCGAGCCCCTACAAAATCCCCAGAACCACAGTATGCCTTGATCAGAGAAGACCCAATGAACAAATTGGGCTCAAACCCACTGCAAATTACAGAGCAATGAAGCTGCAAAACCAAGTTCAGAAAAGACCCATTTGAACGAATTGAACTAATCACAGTAGAGAAGGTGAATTCAGTTGGTCTAAAACCGGCTCTCCGCATCTCTACAAAGAGTATTGAGACCATGTTTGGATCACCATATTGATGATAAATAGCAAGCATGGTGTTCCATGATACAACATCTCTGTGAGGCATTCCATTGAACAAATCTCTAGCATTGTGAATCGTATGGTCTCCTTTGTAAGATTTGAGCATCAAGTTCCAGGTAATGGTGTTTCTATGATATGGGTATTTCTCAAAAAATTGGCGGGCTTCTTTTGACATGCCAAGCTTGGAGTAGAGAGAGAGAAGGGCATTCAGGGAGGTCGCAGAAACCCTAGAAATGCTGTTAAAGACATGGGTAGCTTCTGAAACAGATCCAAGCTCACTGTAGATGAGCAAGAGATATCTTACTGAGAAGTGGGGTATGGCAGAGCCGCTCACTATGAAGCGGCAATGGATGGATTTGGCCGGAAGACAGGCACTGGCTTCGAAACAAGCTTGAAGAAGAAGTGGCCATGGCGATGGAGCTTCTGGTTTAGTGAAGGCCCTGCAAGGGATGTGGGTATGTGTAGAGAGAGAGAAACAAGGTGGGGAAGAGAGAGAAAGCGAGCAGGGTTGGGAAGAGAGAGAGAGCGAAGAGAGAGAAAGAGGGGAGCAGCGAGAGCGGCCGCGGAGCACATTACGCATTTACGAGAAACATTTCCCGCGCAAGGCTTACTTATTTTAAATTCTGACGGGCCGTCATCTTGTAATATGCTCCCGCGGGAGCGTGCTGTGCATTTACTCCTAGGGTAAAAGAGTTCTGAGTGGTTTCTCGATCTATTTTTTTTTAGAAGAAGTATATATAGAGTCGTCAAGAATTAAATTTGAGCCTACTTCAAAATTTTCATTAGAAGAAGTTGTTTTAATGGTCAAATGTCCTCAAAATGATCATCTCGACATCAAGATACGTTAGAAAAAAATGGATTTCAAGTTTAGAAAATAGTGTATTTTGTAATGTATTTTTTGGACAGTCAATTTTCAATATTTTCAAGTTTTCATAGATCTGTCAATCTACACTATTTTTTAAGCTTTGAACTTTATAAATAAAGGTGAAAATATATTTTAAGTCCATCACTAAGATTTCCACTATTGAAACCATATTTCTCGATACTATTTGAAGGCAGACTCTAATTTAATGGTTTAGAGCCTAGGCTAGGCTGTATACAAACCGCACCTCTTTTTTTTCATCTCTTGAATTACAAGATGAGCCTAAAAGATAAAATAAAAATAAAAATAATGAGAAAGGAATTTGACTTTTTAAGTAATTTAATTGGATCATCCACAATTGGAAGGTGTGTGTTCAATCTTGGGATATTATGTTTTTCAAGCACACTAAAATATGTATTTGCTTGTATGTTTTTCTTTTTTGAGATTAGCGCTGTTGATGAATTTATATCCCCAATTTTTTAAACGGTTTTTACCTTAAAGAGCATGTACCCCCAAAGAGCATATAATCTTTATAGGGTGAGGTTTCTATAAGGTGTGAACCTTAAACAATTAAAGTAAGGCACACCTCCAAACTCTAGCGATAAATGTAGTTTTGGTGTCGAAAACTTTACAATGACCTAAAAATCTATTTTTAAAATTGGAATCCATTTTTCCATATTTATACATATTGAGGTCGATATGATCAAGTGGAAGGTTTTTCAGCTTTTAGTACAAATTTGACACCTTATATTAACTTTTTTTCCATCTATATAATCTTTCAATTCTCATAGGATTAACAAGGCAAGGGAGAGCAACACAACCTGAGGGTACTGTAGATGGGCCAGCCGTATGGGGAAGGGTTGTGCTAGGGTGAAGAATTTGAGAGAGAGATAGAGAGAGGAACTATTTGAGAAAGTAATTATGCCCCACACAATTCTTGTGGTGGTTCTTTTATTATATATATAATGGTGTAATATAGACTTGCCTATCTTGTTACATGCAATATCCACCTTCTTATCTTGTTTCATTCTCATCCCAAAATGAAAGAGTAAGTCACTTTTACTTTCCTATTTTGATTGAATTGTTTCTATTACTCCCCCTCAAATTTCGCTGAGGTGGCAGTTGAAGACAAAGTTTGAAACAAAGATATCGAAAAACATCTCGGAGCAAAGGCTTGGTGAAGATATCAGCTACTTGATTGCAAGAGAAAACAAATCGAGTGATAAGCAATCCAATAGCAACATTTTCGCACACATAAAAAGATAGTTTAACTCAACGTGCATTGTCCGGACATGAAAAATATGATTAATTGTCATGTAGAGAGCACTAATATTGTCATAAAAAAGTGTTAATGGCTGAGGAAGAGCTACCTCACAATTTCAAAGAATGAAAGAAAGCCATGTCAAATTTGCAGTAGTGGATGTCATAAATTGGTATCCTGTTTCAGCATTTGAACGAGCCACAGTGGATTGTCTCTTAGCACTCCAAGATATACAGTTGGAACTAAGATAGGTGTAGAAATCAGTGGTTGAACAACGAGTGTTTGGACACCCAGCTCATTAGATAAAGTATATAACTTGAGAGAACTATCATATAAGATTTTTATACCATAGGACTGTATGCCCCTGAGATAACGAAGAATCCATTTCACTGCCCGAAAATGTACAATTGTAGAGACATGCATAAATTGACATATTGTATTAACACTATAGGAAATGTCAAACCGTGTTATGGTAATGTATTGGAGTGCACCAATAATGCTCCGATAAAGGGATGGATTAGGAAATGGATTAGAATTCTCATGAATATTATTCTTCATTGCTATTGGTATGGAAATAGGTTTAGCACAAAACATCTGGAGCATGATCAACAAGGTCCCGAGCATATTTGCTTTGAGATAAAAAATTCCACCAAAAAAATAAGATACCTCTATGCCAAGAAAGTAGTTAAGAGGTCCAAGATCTTTCACTGCAAATTCTCTTCCAAGTTGGGAAATAAACCATTATAGAAGATTTGAAGTATCACCAGTAACAATAATATCATTGACATAAAGGATAAAGATAATAGTGCCTTGAGTAATGCGATAAACAAATAGAGATTAATCCGCTATGATGCAATAAAACCTCAATGATAATAAATAAACACTAAATCGATCAAACCAGGCCCGTGGTACTTGCTTGAGACCATAGAAAATTCTTTTTAATTTGCATATATGATTAGGATATTTTAAGCTCACAAATCCAAGAGGTTGTTCCATAAAATTGAATGAAACTAACTCTTTGAGAAAATAATTGTGCCCCACACAATTATTGCAATGGTTCTTTCAATGGTGTAATATACATTTTCCTATCTTGTTACATGCAATATCTACTTTCTTAACTTGTTACATTCTCTTCTCATAAGGAAAGAGTAAGTCACTTCACTTTCCTATCTTGATTGAATTGTTTCTATTATAGGGAATTCCTCAAAACACTTAAAATGGATGGCCGGCGACGAGGTATCACATTCTTGTGCTTAAAGTTTCAAGGAAATTTTTTTCGCAAAATTGAGAAAAGCCAATGATTCAAACAGGCCATTCGATTTCAAACGTGACTGATTAAGAACTGATTAACTCCAGAGTCGTCAACCATTCACACAGCTCATTCGATTTCAAACCTGAAGGACTAAGGTGCCATTAATCCAAGATTCACCCACGCCATTTCGATTTGAAATAGGAAAAAGTTTATATAAGGATGCAACCTTATAATGTAGAACTACGAATGCACCTAAAAAATCCATCGAAAAATATAGTTTTAATGTTGAAAAACCCTTTGATTGATCATCTCGATGTCGAGATGTATGACCATAAAAAATAAAAAGATTTTAAGTCTCAGAAATAGTGTGGTTTACAACATAGTATCTACACCGTCCATTTCAAAATTTTCATATGTTTATAGATCTATTTGATTTTAACCATTTTTTAAATTTAAAATTTTATAATTAGGTATAAAAATAAATTTGAGATAATCCTAAAAACATTTTACATTTAGACCCTGATAAATTAGAAGGTGCACCTTACCTCTACATCCGTATGCCAACTGCACCCTTTCAAATATGACGGATTAAAGTGATATGAACGTTTTGTAGAAAAAATAATTCATTCATTTGAGTTCTAAAAGAAAGGATGGAATCTTGATCTGTCTTGTGCTTACTTGTGGCGGAGGCTTTTTGCGAAGTGCTCAAAGGCGCAAGTGGTTTTCTTAACTTCCGTGGGAGCATAGTGTTCACTTGCTCTCTTAAATAAATTTTTTTTTTTTGCAATTGAGATATCCACTTAAGAATCGATTATTCTGGTAAAATACAACATAGAATGCATTTTGATTTCTTTCACACTTCGATTTGGCTGTCCGATTAGACAAATCTACAATGAATTTTAGAATATAATTTTGCCAAGAGTGTATATGAATTTTTGTTTTTATTTTTTTCAAAGGTGGACACTAGCTTAGCTTGAAGAGGATACATCACTAGAACTTGTGGTCTACCATGATATTCAGATTTTTGCCTGAGATAATATTTGGACACTATGCTCCCAAGAGTATAAAATCTTGGGAAAATTACAAAAAAACCCAAAACTAAATTTTTTATGTAACTTACCCCCAACCTAACTTTTTCTCTCATTTTTTCCCCAAAATATACTTTCTACCCAAAAACCTCCAAACCAAAAAAAAAAAACCTAAACTACCCTCCCTTATTTTTACCTTACCCACGCCTCTCTCCTCTATCCCACCAAAGTAGGAGCTCCGACACCGTGTAAGTGCGGTTCGGCAGTAGTACCCGCCACTGTGTAAAGTTCGGTCCAACAATAAGGCTCTGGCACTGTGTAAAGTGCGGTCCACAGTAGGGCTCCGATACTGTGTGAAGTGCGGTAGGTAGTAGCGCTCCGTCACGTTGTAAAGTGAGGTCCGACAATTGAAAAGGGCGGTGCGGCAGTAGCAAAGGACGGTCCGACAGATGCAAAGGGCGGGTCCAGCACTTGTACGCTCTGGCAATGTGCTATTGGGGTCCAAAAGTCATGTGCAACTGGGGTCCAAAAGTCAACATCAAATCTGTCCAAAATGATTTTGGTGTACGGGAAGGGCATTTCCGTCTAAAAAAACAAATTTTTCCCTTGGGGGTATTTGTATAGAAAGTTTGTCTTGGGGAAAACCGTGAAAACAAAAGTTCAGTCGGGGGTCAGTTGTAAAAAACGTGTAGTCTTGGTTTTTTTTTTCCCTAAAATCTATTGCATTTTCCAAAAATGAGCTTCAAACAAATTTTATGGCGTATATGAAACTTGTATTGCATATTGCATTGGTTACACATGACCCTTCCACCGGTCGAGATTTTCACAAGGATATATCCCACTGTCAAGAATTAGCCTCATATTATTATTTATTTAAATGAGACAATTATTTGAATTTTTGGTGCAGGTGTATTTTTATAATTATAAATATATAAAAAGGGGGCCGTTTGTATAAGACTGAGCCTCAAAACAATCAAAAGCGCACTTTCAAATAGTGTTGAAAGATGTTTGTACAGTACTGGAAATCAAAAAATTTATTTTCATCTCTAATTATAAAATTTAAAGCTTAAAAAGTAGTGTTGATCAAGCAGATTTATGAATATTTGAAAATCTAAGAAGTTGAAAGTTCAGAAAATACATTACAAGAGGCACTCTTTCCAAGACTTAAAAATCTATTTTTTCTCATATCTATACATCTTAAGGTCGAGATGATCAATTTAAAGATTTTTTTAGCATCAAAAAATCTCTTCTAGTGAGTTTTGAGGTGCGCCTTAATTTGATTGTTTAGGGCCTCACCCTCATATAAACTTTTTCCATATAAAATGATTAAAATATTTTAAATAAAAAACTAAAAAAAATACCCCCACATTTATTCTGATCAGCACTTTTATTATTTTTATCTAATACTACTTATAGAAATGGACTAAATACCAATTTTCATATTAATATTATTTTTTTAAAAAAAAATATGAAATTCAATTTTGATCCTTGGATGAAAGTTGAAACTGATCCATTAAAAGGTGCAAAAGATGCTTGTGCACCTTGTAAGTGTCCACAGCAGGTCGATGCAATACCAACCGTTTCCTATTATGCATAAAGTGAGGCATCGATGCTTCCTTCACCTTCCTTCTTGAAGTAAATAATTAAACCAACAACCAAGCTAGGGATCACATCAGCAAAACCCCATCTCAAGATGGCAATAGATACCTTACTTCCTCCATCTCATGCCTGTAACTTCCATTCATGTATATGCCTTTTTCCCACCATAAAAGACCCTTTTGTTTGATCATTCTTCATAAAGTTGAAACCTTTCATTTAATGTTGGGTGGGTAAGCTAGACCTTGATCCTTGTGTTTCAGTCCTTCAGCCACTATTTAGATAAACAGACTCTCTAAAACTTGTAGTTGATGGCCAAAAAGTGGTTTCTTTTGATTCTCCTCTTAGTCTCCATAATACAGGCTCATGGAATTTTGCCATCTTTCCCGGCCCCGGACCCGGAAACCTTTTCACCACTCTTGCCAGACCCTGAAACTTCAATATCCTTAATTGACTTAGCCTGCTCCAAAACCATAAACCCCGAAGCATGCTTCGAAACCATCCAAACAGAGTGCATAGAATGTAGCCCGATTGCGATTCTTAGCAGCACCGCAAGGTTGACGCGCAATGAAGTAAAGAAGGCCATGGAATTCCTCTCTGAATTCAGGGCACAATCAGTTGACCGCAGAGAAGTAATCGCCACGAAAGACTGCATGGAGCTCTTGGATTTCACAAGTGAGGAGCTCAGCTGGTCATTATCAATAATGAATAATCCTAATTTTTCTGAAGAGACAATGTTGCACCGACAAGGAGATGTACGTGCATGGCTGAGTGCTGCATTAGGCAATCAAGACACATGCATCGAGGGTTTCGAGGGCACCAAGGGACACGTGCGAGATTACATTCAAGGTAGCCTGCAACAAGTATCACAGTTAGTGAGCAACATGTTAGCTATGGTGCAACGTATAAATGATTTTTCAGTAGTTATCCCGTTAAATAATGCAACAATGGAGGTTTCTAATGAGTCTCATGGACGATTAGAAGAGGGCAATGGGGAATTTCCAATGTGGATGTCATCTGAAGAACAAAAGGGTATTTTTCGAAAGGGGGCAGGGGGTGTGCGTGCTAACGTCGTGGTGGCATCGGATGGAAGCGGGAATTTCCGATCTATTACAGAGGCCATAAGGGCTGCCCCTGATTACAGGAAACAACGCTATGTGATACACGTGCGGGCCGGGGTATATAGAGAAAATGTGGAAGTGAAGAAAAAAAAAACAAATATTATGTTGGTGGGGGATGGAAAGGACGTTACAGTGATTTCCGGCAGTCGAAGTTTCCTGCAAGGATGGACTACCTTCCACACTGCAACCTTTGGTTAGTACTTCACACATCTCCTTGTGATTATGATTGGTAGTAGAGGCAATTTTGGGTTGCATTTTCTTTTATAGTCATATTCAAAATGGTCACAATTTTCTATATTTTTACATGGTATATTTCTCCTGAAAACCAAGTTATAAAGAACGGATAGGACTAGCGGTCGTCTGACCGGTCAGATCACCTACTGGTGCTTTAGCCGGTGTGGTCTAAAACAAAAATCAGTTTTGATGATAAACTGATCAAAATCAGGGTTTGATATATTTTGGCCAGTCTGACCAGCCGATTTCGACGATTTAACCTGCCAAACAAAGTGGGTAACTTTTTATTTATGCATGACTGTGGAAGACATTGATTAGGTGGAGATAAAACACATGGCCGCTGTTGTTTCTATGACCATATGGATCACATTATAACTTTGCCTGAGTGGGTAATTGTTTGTTGAATTAAAGATCCCTCCAAATTTATTTTCAAAATTCTCATGAAAACAACAACATGTACAGAAACTTAAATGGGAAACAAAAGAAGGTAATTCATGCATTAAATTGTCTTGTTTATTTATGCATCGATTTTTCTCATGCTCTTGTGCATAACATCTTGCATGCCAAAAACCCAAATGCTTCGACTTCTAACAAAAACTATATATCCATTCCCATGTAATTTCATTACACCATTCAAAATTTGTGTGGTGATCGCAGCTGTATCTGGAAGAGGATTTATAGCAAGAGACATAACTTTTGAAAACACGGCCGGCCCCTCAATGCACCAGGCTGTGGCGCTCAGGGTCGACTCCGACCAATCAGCCTTTTATCATTGTGCTATCAAAGGTTACCAGGACACCCTTTACGCCCACTCCCTTCGCCAATTCTACCGCGAATGCGACATCTATGGGACTATTGACTTTATCTTTGGCAATGGCGCTGCCTTCTTCCAAAACTGCCGAATACTCGCTAGAAAGCCACTTTATAACCAAAAGATCTCTATCACTGCTCATGGGCGCAAGGACCCCCACCAATCCACAGGGTTCTCCATACAAAATTGTATTGTGGAAGCCGCATCAGACTTGGCCCCAATAGTGAGCTCGGTCCCAGCTTACTTGGGTCGACCCTGGAAGCCATATGCTCGGACTATCTACATGGAATCGTATTTAGGGAGCCTCATACAACCTGAGGGATGGCTAGCCTGGGCTGGAAACTTCGCGCTTAACACGTTATATTATGGAGAGTATAGGAATTATGGGCCAGGAGCTAAACTAGATGGACGTGTTAGGTGGCCTGGGTATCATGTCCTCCATGGCCCAACAGAGGCAAATGCCTTCACAGTCGAGCATTTCATCGATGGTAGATCATGGCTGCCATCTACCGGCATTGCATTTACTGCCGGCTTGACTAAATGACGGTGTCATCCAGAGAGTGTTTGTTGAAAACTTATGAATATGAACACTGTGTGCATAAAATGTATCATAGATAATGTTGCCTTTTCATTTATATTCAAAAATTTTGATGAGAAAGACTTTGTTGGAATTTTGAAAGCACGCCATTTTTTAGGAGAGTCAGGAATTTGGTAAGTTTCAAACTAGTGGAGAAAGAAGAGGCTCTGTGCACACAACTTACACTTTTTAACCTCAACATAAATAAAGATGAAAGGAAGACACAATAAGCCACTTTTAGGGCATCTTTAATTTTGAGAACGTGATTTTGGAAACCGCATCTTTCAAGAAAGTGGATACCCCAAGTTCATGGCTCCCCATAGAATGGACTATGTCCATAGTCCACTGGATTGTAAAACTTCCCCGTTATCAAACGGGAAAGTGCCCCAATTATCAAACAGGGAATTGCTACAATACTCAGGGATGTTGTTTTCTAAAATTGTGTCTTCTAAAAGTCAAACATGCCCTTAGGAAAAAAGAACTTTCGAAGCTTTCTGCACTCAAGAGATGTACATGAGAGTAAAAGGGAAAAATTATATTTCCACCACTCATACTCAATACAGAATGACAAATAAACACATCGAAAGATTACCAACAAGTTCAGGGAGATGTTATGGCCAAGATCCATAATAGAGCTCCTACAATTTACCCCAAGGGGCTTCAAAACCCTACATATTTGTTCTTAACATTTTTTTCGATTTAAAAGTTACAACCCAATCCATCCAATTTGATATGTGATGGTTAGGGTTACTTGTGAACTCCATGAAACAAAAATAAGTGGACTCATAGTATACAAACCAAATATTTCCCTATACAAATAAACTTTTCACATAAACAACATTTTTTGTCTTGTTTGACAATTGGAAGTTCCGATGCCATATGCTAGAACTTCCAAGGCACTATGCAAATCCTGGTTTGATAACTCTGAATGGCACAACCCTTGGAAGTGCGAATTTTTAAAAATGAGAAATGTGCACCTCGGTGCCCCCATGGAAGCGCAAACTTTTTGTTAATGAATGAGAAGCTTCCATCTTCTCATGGGATGCTTGCCTTGTACATTTGTCATTTGTATTTTTATTGAAAGTCAACTGAAGATGAAAATTCGAGGTGGCCATGTGCAAATATAT